GACTGACGCATATGTATGAGGGCCTGGTTTCCCAAGGCCACTGTGGGCCGTGGTCAGCATCAGAAGCTTCCAGTGGGGCCTATCTATGCCCTGCTGAGGCATCAATTGTAAGAAGTTTAGGGTCATGGGACTGCACAGCCTCAACACAGAGGCCATGACTACAGAGTCACACGCTGGAGTGACACATGCTTGGGCCCAAAGCCAGGCTGGACCAGTTACACCAGCAGAGAAGCAATGGGGAGGGAAGTAGCACCAAAGACCCAAGAGGGCAAGGCAGCCAGCAGGACCATCAAGCCCAGAAGCCTAGGCCCCAGGCTTTGGGTGTCATCGAAGGCTCCTTCGCTACCAGACGCCATACTGAGGGGTGGGGGGCGGGCACTGCCAAGAGACAGGGCCATCCTAATAGGGAGTTCGGACCCTGATTTGACTATTTTTTTAGACAAGAGTACATTTTCTTCTTTTAATTTTTTTTTTTTTTTGCTTTTGACATCATTTCAGAAAAGTTTCAAAAATAGTGCAAAGAATTCCGATACCCTTCATCTAAATTCTCCAAATGCTAACACTTTACTACATTTGCTTCATTCTTCTGCATGTGTGAGTGGTTTTCCTGAAAGCCATCTATATTTTTTCTGAACTATTTCAAAGTTGTAGATACGATGTCCCTTTACCCCTAAATACATCAACGTGGATTTCCTAAAAACAAGGACGTTTTCCTACCTAACCACCGTACAAATTAAAATTGAGGAATTCATATGTGGTACTTTATCTAAGCTATAGACTTGCTTCGGATTTTACCAATTGTCCCCAAAATGTCCTTTATAACAAAAGAGAATGCAGGATCAGCACTTCCAGTTGTGAAGAGAATGAACTTTCACCCAGAAATAAAGTTGGGGGAAGGGAAGCTATGATCAAGTTGAATTGAGTTGAGCTGCAGAAGAAATTAAGTTTTATTTCTGCATGTCTGAGCCACACAGGGTAAATGCTGACCTTGCAATGTTCGTGATTAATAATAGTGTTCATGATAACGGTAATAATAATTTGTGGCCCTTTCTGTTCTGGGTCTTTATGTCTTGGAGACAGATTTGTGGTCATTTGTTAGTAGCCAGCTGCTCCTTAAAAAAAAAAAAATATTCTTGAGACAATGTAGCTTAGTGGGAAAGGTGGGCACTCTGGAGTGAGACTGGGTTGAAAATTAGCTTTGCCACTTGCCGATGGGCCCAGCTCGGACCTTTCTGAGTCTCGGCTTCCCTGTCTTTAACATGGAGGAGAGATCAGCACAGTGGGGTGTGGAGCCGGAGAGATCTAGGCTCACATCTTGACTCTTCACCAGCTTGGGTTTGGGTCCGCTCCTCTGTACGTGGGGACAATACCACCAGGGCACCTGGCTGGGCTACTGGAAGGAAGAATGATGCTTGTACAGAAAGGCCTGGCTCACAGCAGGCCCTCCATGGAAGGTGAATTCCTTGCCATCAGCCCTTCTGGTTTGTGCAAGTGGCTCTTCCTCCTGAGACCTCGATTTCTTCATCTGTGAAACAGAGCCAGTAATAACCCACCTCCCGGCATGAGAAGAATGAGAATTGCAGATGGAAGGGCCTGGCGGTCTGAAAAGCCTGGTACACTGTGGCCTTGGCAGAGTAAGGGATTGGCTGACAGTGACAAAAACAGATCGTGCTTCGGAATCCCGAGGCCTGCCAACAATGCGGGCAAACCCGTTCTCCCACTGCTGCCCCGGGGCTCTCTCCCAGCCAGGTTTTCTCCTCCTTCCCTGGGTGCGTCCGATGCGGGCTGGTCCCCGCCTGCCTTCTTCTAGGAAGCCACTCAGCCCTGCCTCCAAGAAGGGAAGAAGGACATCACCGTGTCCTGGGCATGTTGTTGGGCAAGAGAGGGCAGCTCCAGTGCTGGGGAGAGAAGGAATCTGCAGCCCTGGCAGGCTTTCACCCGAAGAGTCCCAGGGCCGCAGCCCCGCCGGTCTCCTCCCTGTCTCAGGCATGCGCCAAGTTCATGATCAGATCATGAGAGCAGAGAGGCTTAATGGGAAGGGCTCTGGCCTGGGAGGAAGAAAGCCTACCATCGCATTCATAGGGTCAAGAAAGGCCTGGGCCATGACCTCTTGGGGCAGAAGGCCCTCAGCCAATGAAGCAAGAGGTGGGTGTGTTCCCAGAGGGGGGCAGATGTCCAGCTCTTCCACCTCCTTCCTGGATGGTAGACCCACACACTACATGCCAAGCCTGCGTCAAGCTCTCGACATTATACTTGTGTTATCTTATGGAGCCCTCATAAGTCCTGGGGAGGTTGGGGGCACCATGCTCCTTTGATAAAGAAGAAAACCCAGGCCCAGAGAATGAAGCTACTTTCTCTAGTTGGCATCTGCTCAGGATTGAAGCCTGGGCCTGCTTGGTTCTGAAACCCACGATCACCAGGTTTGCTGTGGGATGGAAGAAGGATCTGAAGCTGGGCCAAAGGCTGAACGTACCTTCAAGGACCAACACCTTTCTGGGTGCAGCCCTGTGACCTCACAAGTCATTCACATATTCCTCTCCCTGGATTGACACACTCTGGGGATCCTGTATCATTACAGTCCCTGATGGGACTGTCCATGTCACCTACACTGACCAGACGTATCTGTAATTATGTCATATGTGCCTTCTCCCCCACCCCACCCGAGTGTGGGTTCTTCCAGGCACTTGGTCCAATTCCTCTATTTACTAGTATCTGTCTGCATGCCAAGCAAATGCCAGGAATGTGGTGGGAGTTCGGTAGATGTTTTTTGGATGAACATACCGATAGGGTGGGGTTAAAACCGTTTATCAGAGGAAGCATCTGAGCCCAGTGCTGGAGGAAAGGGACTTGCCCAAGGTTACTTAGGCCTGTTCAACGTCCATCCAGGGTGGTTTCCCCTCTATTACTCAGTCTTGGCATGGGTCCAGAGTTTTACCAAGAAGAAGCGCTGCATTTGAAGATCTCCACAGGAAGCCAAAGACCCGGTCTGGTCTCTCAAGACCCTCCCCGCGGTAAGACTAGGGACAAGGGCCCAAAGGAAGCTGGGAAATCAGACCTCAGGACATTTACCTTAAAAGGTAGACTTCGTGGCTTCTGAGGCTAGGATTTGCTGACCTGGAAAATGAGAACAGCATGGTAAACAGTTCTTGTTCTAAGGAGAAGTGCTTGCGGAAGCTGGGCCCGTTTTGTAGGCCCTGATGAGTCTCTGACTTGAAATGCAAGGACTGGGAAATAATTCTGAGTCCATAAAAAAAAATGAAACCTGAAATGTCTACTTGCCCATTATTTCTTCATTTATTCATCCACCCGTTCACTCACTCACTCATCCATCAATGTCCTGTTTCCTAAGTTTCGCTCATTCCCATACTACTTATGTCATTTGCCTTATCCAATACAACCTGTAAGCTTATTTACTTCACCTTTTTTCTTTATTTGACTATTTTACCTAAATTCATTTAGCCTCAGCCTAAGCAATAGTTTAATTAAATATATCAATGACAACAACATCATTGCCCATGTATCACCCCAAACCCTCTCTCACGCCACCATTGTGTCCATTCAGCTCTCCTCTGTGCGGTTCAGTTTCTGCATCCAAGAAGTGGACAGCTTTTGGACACAGTGATCTTCCACCCCTGACATTCTGGGCATCTATGATTCAAAGAGTCACACACATCCAGGGAGGAAAACCTGGAGGCTAGACGGAATCAGTGGGAGAGGTAGCTGGTGAAACATGTTTATCTGTCATGTTTCTGAGGCTGAGCAGTGACTCAGGAGGCAGGTCAGGAAATCCTTTGGGATTGATCTGTAAAACACCTCTAAGAAAAATAAGTAAGGAAGTCCCCAAGAGCCAAACAGCCCCAAAAGCGTGAGTTACACACTCTTCACTAGACTCTTCTAGAATCTTCTGAAGTTTCCAGAGGCACTGGCATCCCAGATGGAGGAGTTTACACTGAAGAAGTCTGGCACTGAGAATGTCTGGGCAGAAAGGTGATCCGACTGGCCTCCTCTGAGGCCCCAGAGTAGGCAAGCCGGAAGTGGGTTCCTTCTTGGGCACCTGCTCCGGCCACAGGTCCGTGTTTGATTCCAACCCAGAGGGATCCTGGGCCCATATTTGTTCTGTGTAGTGCAGCCCCTTCTTGTCCAGCTAACTGACCAGAGGTAGGTACCAGCCTCAGAGGGAACCACTCCTAAACATTTGAATTAGGACAAGAATCATGAGTAGGTACAGGTATAGGTCGGGTAAGGTAACACAGACTCTCTGAGAAGACCTGCCTGGAACACCCATCTGAGAGAGAGGAAGGAAACCAGTTTTCAGAGAAGCACCAGGGGAGCTGGCGCTCACCCCCAGAGAGCCAGGCAGGCCTGGGTTCTGACCCCCATTTATCGCTCACTTACTACCTATATGACTTTGGGCAAGTTATTGAACCTGCCTGAGCCTTACTTCCTTATTTTCACAAACTAGAAAGCAGGACAGTGTAGACCTGGAGCCAACTCCTCTTGGCTCTTCCACCTACTGGCTGATGACCTTTGGAACGTGACATGATTTCTAAAAGCCTCAGCGTTTTCCACACTAAAGTGGGGCTAATAAAGCCTGTTTTAACTGATTGCTGCAAGGCTCGAATGGAGGATGCAAAATGTTTAGTGCATAGCCTGATCAAACCGTGCCAGATGCTTTATAATCCCTAGACAATGGAGTTACATAAGCCAAGAAATTCCTGTAAAAAATTATGACATTGAAAAAAATGTTTCACACAATATCAGGCACGTGGTAAAAAGTGCTCAGTATATGGTAGACATGATAGCAATTTGTTAAGTAAAGTACCCAGCATGAGCCTTGACACATGATTATTAATTTAAAAAAATTAAGTATTAAAAAGTGCACACCGGTCAGTGCAGAGGGTTGACTCAACCTAGAAGATGGGAGACATTAGTCATGTCTCCCTCAGCCCTAACCAGACAGCACCTCGAGCTGGAAAAGAAGTAGAGCCTAGGAAGTGGACATGAACCTTTCACTTTCCAAGGAAAATAAAAATTCTTTCTTGGCAAGTATGCTTATTTGAAAAAAAAGAGAACCCACACATATATCTAGACAAATATTTCTCTGTTCTTATCAGTTATGCCTTTGTTTGGAATAGAGTAAGCTACAGTAATCAAGATTGTGATATTGGTCCAAAGACAGAAAAATACATCAATAGAGCAGAACCGTGAGTCCAGAAATATACACTGAAGTACAAACTGATTTTTTACAAAGGTACACAGGCCTCTCTGTGGAGAAAATATAGTTTTTTTTAACAAATGGTCCTGGGACAACTGCTCATCTATATGTTAAAAAACACACATACACAGAAATCTTCCATAAAAGAAAAAGAATCAATTGGAATTCATAAAAAAAATTTAAAATGTCTGCTTTTTGAAAGATATTGTTAAAGGAAATAAAAGACAATATGGGAGAAAATATTTGCAAATGATATATTTTATAAAGGACTTTTACTCAAAATATATAAAGAAGTCAAAACTTAATAATTAGAAAACAAGTAACCCAATTAAAAACTGGGGGAAATATTTGAGCAGACACTTCACTAAAGAAGATATATGAATTGCAAATAAGCATGTAATAGGATCCTCAACATCATTAGTCATTAGGGAAATGAAAAATAAAGCCACAAAGAGATGCCATTACATGTCTATTAGAGTGACTAAAGTGAAAAAAACTAACCATACTAAGGTTGGTGAGGATGTGGAGGAACTGGAACTCTCATCCATCGCTGGTGGGGATATAAAATGGTACAACCACTTTGGAAAACAGTTTGGCAGTTTCTTAAAAACTTAAACATACACATGACTTGGTCATTCCCATCCTAGGGATATACTTGAGAGAAGTGAAAGCATATATCCATGCAATGACTTGTACATGAATGTTCACAGTAGCTTCATTTGTAATAGTCAAAAGCTGGAAACCCAACTGTCCATCAACAGATAAGTGGATAAACAAACTGTGGTATATCCACACAGAGCATACTACTCAGCAATAAAAAAAAAGAATGAGTTATTGATAGATGCAACCAGATGAATAAATCTCAACACAAGTATGCTGAATGAAAACACCCACACATAAAGAGTACTTATTGCATGATTATCCTACCATATTAAAAGGCTAATATGCAAATCGACCGAACCATGGACGGACCAGTTGCTATGACATGCATTGACCACCAGGGGGCAGACGCTCAATGCAGGAGCTGCCCCTTGGTGGTCAGTGTGCTCCAACTGGGGGAGTGCTGCTCAGCCAGAAGTTGGGCTCACTCTTAGGTCTGCTCCCCAAGGGCTCCCAGACTGTAAGAGGGCACAGGCCAGGCTGAGGGAACCCCTCCCCCCGCAACCAGTTCATGAATTTTGTGTACCAGGCCTCTAGTATTGACATAAATGTCTCAGAAATGGAGATCAGATTGGTGGTTGCCTGAGGTCCGGGGAAAATGGTTGGAGGGAGGGATTACAGAAGGACACAAGGAATCTTTTGGGAGCAATGAATATGTTCATTATGGTGATGGCTTCACAGGTATATATCATAATATAAATTTTTATACTTTAAACACTTGTAGTTTATTACATGTGTATATTAAACCTCAGTAAAGCTGCTTTAAAAAAAAACAGCAACACACAACAACCAAGGGCCTTCCCCATGAGTCATCTATCCAGGGCTTGCCACAAGTTTCATACAATAGCCTAACACACCCATCTAATTGAGCACGGTTGCTTCTTCTGGGTCAAAAGGCCCAACTGACTGAGCTGCCTGCCTGCAGCCTGTAACACCTAGAATCTTCTTTCTCTGGGCCCTTCTCCAAATAGAAGCCTTGTGGGTAACTTGGTAAATGGGTAGGAATAACACACCCAAAAATGGAACTCCATGCCTCCAAATCCATGCTTCTCTTTTAGTACTGGGCTAATAATATGGCAACTTGCCTTTTATTTTGGAGGAGACAACATGACATGCCCTAGACCTCTAGACCTCCAGAAATATCACTGAGGTACCAGTCCCTGAAATTTTGTGGTATTGATCTCCTACCTCCAGCAAGCATGTATCTTACCAGGGGGGTTTAGGGTGTCTGCTACTTCCTGCCTACTGAGTCTTATTTGCATAATGTCATTAAGTTGGTGCACCAGTATGACCTACTCCAGGACAAAAGTATGTCCCCCACAGCCACCAAACAGGAGAAACTAGGGAGGAAGGACAAGATAAAGAATGAGAGAAGGTGAAAGGGGAGCTGAAATGAGAATGGATGGTGTTGAAGGAAGAGGGAGGACGGTTTGTAACAGTGGGAATTGTAACCCAGTCCACCATTCTTCTGACATTGTTTCTGTAGATACTGACTCTGACTAATATGCAGGTTGTAGATGAACAGCATCCTATATAATAAAGAGTTAATATGCCAATGGTTGTCACACCCTCATGCTGTCATGCTCTAATGCAGTGGTCCTCAACCTTCCTAATGCTGCGACCCTTTAATACAATTCCTCATGTTGTGGTGACCCCAACCATAAAATTATTTTTGTTGCTACTTCATAACTGTAATTTTGCTACTGTTATGAATCATAATGTAAATATCTGATATGCAGGATGTATTTTCATTGTTACAAATTGAACATAATCAAAGCATAGTGATTAATCACAAAAACAATATGTAATTATATATGTGTTCTCTGATGGTCTTAGGTGAACTCTGTGAAAGGGTCGTTTGATCCCCAAAGGGGTCACGACCCACAGGTTGAAAACTGCTGGTCTAACGGCTCAGATACTCAACACTGGGGAGAGAGGAATGGGGACCAGCCAGGTACAAATGAGCTCACGAGAGAAGAATAGGGACCAGCCAGGCTTCGGCCTGGGAGAGGGACAAGCCACCCGCCCTGTGGCCCTGGGCGCCTGTGGCTGTGGCACAGGCGAAGCCTCCCGCCCACAGTCCCATGTGACTGCAGCCGGCCCAGGTGAAGCCGGCCCAGGTCCTGGGTGCCTACAGCCGGCCAGAGGGAGGGAAGCTCAGGTCCCAGGTGCCTGCGACTGGCCAGAGGAGGGAATCCTGGGTCCTGGGTGTGGGGCGAGGCATAGGCTGTTAGGGGTGATCAGGCCAGCAGGGGAGCAGTTAGGGGCGATAAGGCAGGCAGGCAGAGATGGTTAGGGACAATCAGGCAGGCAGACAGAGGGGTTAGGGGCGATGAGGCAGGCAGGCAGGTGAACAGTTAGGAGCCAGCAGTCCCAGATTGCAAGAGGCAGTCAGATATCCCCCGAGGGGTCCCAGATTGGAGAGGGTGCAGGCCGGTCTGAGGGACCTCTCCCCCCACCCTCGTGTATGAATTTCATACACTGGGCCTCTAGTGTTTATATAAGAATCTTAAGCACTAACTTCAGAAGATACAGACTCTGACCTTCAGTCATCCCAGTTCCTGGAGGTTTGCTGACCTTCAACCATAGAACCAGGATGATGTAGAACCAGGATGAGAAAGACCAGGATGATGCACACCAGACCACCCCTTGACTGATTTCAAGGTCTTTATCGAAATGGACTGTGTTCTGCCATCTCCCTTCTTATAGAAATCTCTGCCTGGACCCAGCCAGTGTGGCTCAGTTGGTGCAGTGTCATTCCATGCACCAGGAGGTTGCTGGTTCCATTCCTGGTCAGGGCACATGCCCAGGTTGCAGGCTCCATCCCCAGTAGGGGGCATGCAGAAGGCAGCC